CAAGAACAATTTCAAGTTTAAGAGTAATACATTCATCTCTAATTATATCTACTAGCACCGGACATTTTTGTGTTCAAGTTATAATAAGCACCGTTCTATTACTTGAAAATCAACAATGAAACTTTTAAAAACTGTTTATAATCCATCATCAACGGAGTGTTTGAATTTATCACCTTGGTTGACTATTAGGAATCTTGAATTATTCATGAATAAACTTTGAAGTTGCAGAAACCATAATATAATAATAATAGTGTCTTTACCATAATACGGTTAGGCTTTCCTATTGCCCAAAGGTTGACCTTCTTATCTTCGCCGCCTGTGACCATGACTCGGCCAGATTTCTTCCCTAGGGCTAAGCACCTGACACTTGTCCCATGGGCCAAGAACTTCTCTGAAAATCCAAATAAACAATAATGTTAACTCAAGAACAACTCGTTAACGATTACGTTTACATATGGTGTTTTCGTTCACATATTAACGCCAAAGTTTGTACTAGAAACAATTTTCGTTGGAGAGAACGTAACATTCAACAAGCTTGTGAAACCCGTATGTAAATAATCTATTGGTTCTGGTGTAAAATATTTATACACTTAGGAACAGATCTCAAAATATATTGTATAATTGCTTTTTATTACTTGTGTCTTGACAATTTAAGCACAAATGGTGGTTACTATTAAGTATGTTAAGATTTTTATAAATCAGCTTAAAACAGACACGTATACATGAGTCAGTGAATAAATGGTTACCAGAAACTACACCAGAAAAATTTCATTCTCTTTTCTGATGACAACCGACAAAAAAAACAGCATTCAGGTATCTCTCTCCTAAGAAGCAAAAAAAAAAAAAAGACTTTACTCAATGTATAATCACTAATTTTAGCTAACGAATTAAAGCTGGAGAAAGTGTAATTTAGGTCTTCCGATATACTAATTTTTAAAAAGTTATTTCGTTACTGTTAGTTTTGTTTCTGGTTTTAAAAAGAAGGATTTGTACGATATAATTTTTGTTTTTACATTTTATGTTTTCAGTAAAGTTAATTCTTCTGTGGAGTTTGAATGTTATTATCAGCGAAAAATATTAGAAAGGATGTAATAAAATCTCGAAACTGATGTAAATAATAAAGCTATGTAGACGTTTTTTGGAATTCATATATCCTTTTCATTTTGATGCAAGAAAGTTTAAACCAAATATGTATATACACACACACATAGATATTTTCATGCTACTCAATTAAAATATTTGTATTTATGGCAAATATACTAAGGTTATCTGCCACCTTTCCTAATTTTGAGCTACTACCTATAGAGAAGTCAGCTAGTCTATAGCATTCTACCATCCACACAAAGGAATTAACTGCCACTCCTATAATTCATCCTCAGCTTAAAATGCGGAATATAAAATTCGTTAAAACCTTTTCGTTCGTCCGTCAGTAAAACCTGGGGTATTTACGCCATCAAACCATACCGCTTTGGTTCTTTAATGAAATGAAGCACGGATTGGCCCTGAGGTATATCTCTGGATTTTGGAGCTAGCGTGCCGGGCTCGAATCTGTGCGAAACGCAACAATCAAATTAGATAGGACTTCAAAAGTATAGGAACGACAAACAATAAATTTTCACTTTCAAAATAAATAAATACAAATGTCAAATATAGCAACAAAGTTGAAAGGTAGGGAAAAAACACTTAACACAAGCCTCGTCAACACTGAATTGAGCAGTTATAATGTGGTTGACATATTATTATGCAGTTAGATACTTTCACTCAAAAGTTCTTATTAATAATGTAAGGAGACAAATTTGTAAGTTATATCAACATTACCGTTGAGCATATTTTTAGTTATATCAACATTACCGTTGAGCATATTTTTCTGTTATATCAACATTACCGTTGAGCATATTTTTAGTTATATCAACATTACCGTTGAGCATATTTTTAGTTATATCAAAATTACCGTTGAGCATATTTTTAGTTATATCAACATTACCGTTGAGCATATTTTTCTGTTATACAGGTACTTGTGATTATAATAAGTTATATTTTTAAAGAGTATGTTACCCCATCTCACAGAAAAGTTGGATTGTAATACTCGTTTCCGTTCTTGACTCTTGGTTTTCCGCTCAACTCCGAACAAGGAAGACGGCCGTTTAACACGCTGCATCTCTAACAATATGTATATAACGTTCTTTCTTTATCACGAAGGCCTCAACTGGCTCATCACTATGAAGTAAGTCGTTAATCTAAATGTGTCTCACCCAGACACAGGCTTTTGACGACACTCCTCAGCAAATTAGGTCATTAACTATAAGGTGCAGTGTAGAAGGCTGAGAAGGGGACAAGACACATCGCTCAGCACGAGCCTAACAATCTCTGTTCTCGCATAAAGGCGTTTTACTTCACCACATGAATAAACTGTCTATCTTGAGCCAAAACATTAAAAGCTTCAGCGTTTCTAAACCAACTTGAAACACTAAGTGCGATTAATAGATACTATGGGTTTAAATCACTCAAGAAATACACGAGTAAACGTTATGATTTGTACGCACTCAAGTATCAGAGCGATTTCTGATGTCTGTTCTATAGTAACTTGTGTGATTTTGTGCTTAGCAAGGAGGTTTGCGGTAACTTTCAAGATTATACTTGAATCACTCAAGACCACGCGTGTAGGTGGCGCTCCAAAAACCTCAAAATACTAGCACGTGACGACCGTTGAAAGCATGTCAGAGAACAGACATGTAGTCAATACTCGAATGTTAGTGGCCGGTTTGTACATTAAAGTATCACAAGGTAAAACTGATTTGAACGAATATAAGACTCTTATCTCCTTTTACCTGAAATTAATCTATAATTATACTAATTAAATTAGTAGTTTTTTTCACGTCTTGTCTGTTTGCAATATTTATAAAATATACAATTCAGAGTTATAAATTTATGTGTTGATTGTGATTCATTACATTTTTTATATTACTGGATAAAAACTTCAAAGTGTACAGCTTTAGAAAGAAATAAAACATGTTAAAAGAGAGTACTTAAAGAACGTTTGTTTTTGGCATCAGCAAGCGGAGAGATTAAAAATAAAGATATAACAGGTTTTAAAAAAAATTGTAATGCATATTTTACAAGTAAAAGCAAAAATTCTTGAAAAACTAAAATATTTCACATTCTGATTTTACCAAAGTCAGGAAGATATAGAAACATAGTCCGTAGTGAATTGAATATTGAACAAGAGTTGTATATTGCAACTTATTTTTAAGCTGTTGAAAATTAAACTTGTATTAATGACTTGGAAACAAATGATACTGTTACGACAGCGGAAGTCACGTGACCCTGTTAACACTTAATGAGTATGTAGAAGGATCGGGGAACATCACGAATAATCCAGTATTTGCTAGACGCCCTCTATTCCTGTATATAAGCAGGCAAATAAAGCGAGATAATTAATCGGAATTGAATTGCAGACAGGCAGAGATAGAGATGGACAATAGAGTCAAGCGCGGTAGTGACCGTAAGTAAAGTGCGTGAATCGTTGTGAATTATAGCGTGTGTTAGAAAAACACGTAGTTTCAAGAAGTCTTGATAGAAATGAATAAAAACCCTATAACCCGAGCGCTTTCGAAAGGTGGACCTTTCTTCTTCAGGGGAAAACTAGGAAAGAAGAAGGTTCCACCTTACGAAATCTTCAACTTCATACACCAAACAAAACAATCTTATTTTCAAGAATACTTTCAACTTAGATTTTTAATTGCTGTTTGATGTCAATCATTAGATCGGCAGATGAATGCAAGTTTTGTTTGATAATTGCTATCAAAAGTAGTTAATACCAGGTAAATAACTGTTAAAATACTTATTATGTGGCCCCATAGTGCCACAGTCTGTTGTACCTTTCAGCAGTCAGATTGATTTCACTCGTATTTCAGCCCATATATTAGAATTGTTACTTCGGCATGTTTCTCTATAGATGTTATATGTTGACCATAATACTACTCTCCTCTCTCATCAGGAAACTGTCATTGACTGTTTGTTATCAAGGTATTTGAATTTGGGTTCATTTGTAAAAAAGCACCCTACTCCAGCTTGACTTGTCTCATTATTTGAAATGAGTTGTTCATTTTAGCCTTTTGATTTGTGTATATCTCCTAAGCAATGATTTTTGAACAGTTACATATCCACTGAAGTTATTTCATCCAAATGTGTAACCTTCTATTCTGGAGGTAACATTCACACTTGTACTTACAGCTAGATCATTGACAATATCTTTAGTAAATTGTTATGTATCACTAAAGATCACGTTGTATTATTGATCATCAGTTTTAAAGAATGTGCGATTTTTATCTCGATCACTTCTGTTATAAATAGTACCAGCTTCACATCTATTTTTCAATGTTTGTATACAACTTCTGGTGAATCACGAAATGTCGCCTCAATCTGTCATATGGATTAACTTTCACAAGCACAAACTTTGATTTTTACACGTTTGTCAAATGACATATCTGGTCTGGGAGCCATGAATTTAAACACTACCCCACTGCTGGGAATAGCATGGCTTTCCGCACTTTTTAGGTACTATCCTGGTGTAGCCCCGTCTGATTGGCTGGATGATAGCCAGTAACAGTTTAAATTAAAAAACAAAACTTAACTGTATTCTAGTGCAGTTCATTTTGATAAATAAAGAGGTGCAATCTCATAATATTGCACTTTATACTCAATTCATTAATTATTTCCGTAATTGTAGCAAAAAGTAGTTCAAGGGGAAAGGTATCATAGACAGTTTCATTTATAGGAAAATACACGCAATCCTGAAAAAAAAAAAAGACTTATTCCTATCACGAAATCGCTGTCAATGACTTCTGATCAGACTAATATGAGGCAATGCAATGGAAAAACAACTTTAAATCTACGCACTTATAATAGCTTTATTAAATATTCTAATTCCCTTTTATTGTACAAAATAAACAAAGTATAAAGTGAAAAATTTTATACTTTTCATGCTGTTTTTCTTGTTTTATATCTGTACTAATTATTCCTTAACGATAACTACAATATAATAGATTAAATCTTTACAACGCTCCCTATAATCTTATAACTATCATTAATGTCGTCTCCACAGCACGTGATCAGTAACGGTCACTCTTTCAACTCTCATTCTCAACCTGATGATGACCTACGTTGTTATTTGTTTTGTGCTTTTCAAATTAAAAGTTTTCTATATTCATATCATATATATATATATATATATATATATATATATATATATA